AGTGACTCATCAGTTTTTTGACCGAACAAGTAGTCCCCCTCAAAGGGCAAACCCTCCACAGTGGACTATATTTCCCTGGGAAAACCTGAGGAATGAAGTCAGCGCTCCTTGTACAGAATGATGGCAGCTGCCATTGATCTAGATGCAACAGATACAGCTTCTATAGCGGCTTGAAGAGACTGCCTGGCTATCAGACTACCCTCTGTGCTTCTGAGGGAGTTTGACTCTAAATTCTGAAAACGTGGAGTAGTTGATGAAATCATACTTCGCAAGCAGTGCCTGATAACTGGCTATTCAGAATTGTAGGCGGGTAGATGTAAACGCTTTGCTCCCTAAGAGGTCCAAGTGCTTGGCCTCCTTATCTAAAGTAGTAAATCTTGTGTATTGTTGTCTACTCGCTATGGTAGCAGCCTGGACAACCAGGGGGTTGGGGACAGAATGTGTGAAGAGAATCTCTGCTACATTGGGAGGATCAAAATACCTCTTTTCTGCCCTCTTGGAAGTGGCTTGGGTGTGCAACATCATTGCTTGGGTGTGCCACATCACTTTGGCCAGCTCTCAGATAGCCTTGTTGACTGGAGTGCTACTCTGTATGCTCTGTACTCTGCAGGGTTTTGTGGGATGACTCTTGGTCTTCCTATACGGGAACCTGGTGGGCTTCAGCAATCCTTTTTAACAATTCCTGTTTGTGATTATCTGGTAGAGATAGAGAAGCCCAGTGGGCTAGTTTGCCTTTATTATATTCACTGCTTTGCATTATATTCTGCTTTGCATTATATTCAGCAATAATGCAAGGAACCTACAGGCTTGTATCCTGTAAGACATTAGCTTTAGCAAGTTAGCATAAAGCTTGAACAGATAAACAGCCAACGAAAACCCCAAGTATTGGGGAGCTGAAAATAGCATGTTTAAGGTGAAGTTTTAACCACAGGTAAATGATCCAATCACAAAAGTGTCATGACAGTGAGTTGACATATGTAACAGGCAAATGAGCTACCTAACCACAAGAGGGCCATGGTAATGAATTGAGGTATATGTTAATAAGTTGAGATCATTGATACACTAACCTATAGAAGAAAGACACTCCGACATTCGTAAGGTGGGGAAATACAAATAAGGAAAAGGGGAAAATCCCCTACTGAATATGCATCAAACATAGTGCATCAGCATAACGTATTATAAAAGTTGCATCCCAGCCTAGGGGCTGTAGGAGAAGGAGATGTAGTCCTTGGGAGGTGCCAGAATAATGGCCACTGGTGATGATGGGGAAGATGATGGCTAACATTTCAGGTTGTTCTACAATGGATGGTGTGAGTATATGGATGTGCAGATGTATACTCTGTAGTATTTCTCTCTACCTTACTGAGTTGGGGTTTTTAGGACTGTGCTAAATGTATTAAGAACTATTTGTAAACATAGACGAGTTCCCATAGTGTGAGTGTTGCAACTGGGCACATCAGGGTTCCCAACTATATAATAATTGAAATAATACTGGGCCTCAAAATGATAACTTGGGATTCTTAAGTAATCTAATCTCTCTCTCTCTATATATATATAATACATAGATCTGGCTACAATGGTAATGCTGGGGCAACTGCCATGTCAGGAAAAGAAGACGATATGCCATACAATACCAGTGGTACCACTGGATATGGCTCTTCTTCTTTCCCCATGGGCTCCAGATGGCGTTCACGCTGGTCACTCTGAGGAGAGGGATGGGGAGAGTCTCAGTGGGTCTGTACAGATACAGGATAATGCATGCATAGGTCCCATGGTCCCCAGCAGGGCCAATGTGAAGGGTCCAGTATGGGTTCATCTGGACCCCAAGGCATAGAATACCATTAGTCCTGGGGGGTACCCCAACTTATGCAGTAATGGCAGGCCCCAGGAGATTCTGGAACCTCTATCAAGGCTGACATGTCTTGGAGGAAGTGATGACGGTCCTTCTCCCATATCAGAATTGCCTGGCGAAGAGAATATGGGCTCCATCTCCAGAAGTGGTGCTGTTGGAACTGTCAATGAGGAAATATCCTGACTAGTAAAGGGAACAGGAAATCAACTTCTTTCATAATGTTTGTGGACCGATAGTGTCGTGATCTCCCTTGTAAGAACCGGGCCTGATAAGATGGGAGATTCCAGATCTGGCAGGATGGTGATGTCCTCTGAAAGGGTATATCTGCCCCCATGAAGCGTCTTCTCCCTGTTAACCTTCAGCGTTGGCTCAGAAGTGTGCATTAGTACCAATGGCCCCTCTGCTAGTATCAGGTCAGACTGTCTAGGTTCATGCCTCTCTTGACTCAGCACCAACGGTCCTGCTGCTGCCGATGGTGCTGAAGGGGAGGCACCCTCTGTCTCTGCAGCCTGTGGGTCGGTACCATGACTTCGATGGGTTTTCAAGTTTCCTTGGCCCAGGTGTGAAGGGCTGGTTCCCCTACACACTTGTAGAAGTGGATCTAGAGGGGAATATTGCTCCAGCCTTGGAGAGGCTTTCTTGCCTTTGCAGTGAACCTGAGAGGAAGAATGCTTGGCTCTGCCTTTGCCTGTCACTGTGTCTGAAGTGCTAGTGCTGGGCAGCATGCTCCTCAACGCCTCAAAACACTGTGCAGCGCAGTCTGGCTCCATGAGGGGTTTCCTAGGCCTGAACTCCCATGTTTGTCCCGCCAGTCGATGTTATAGTTACCAGTCCAGAGTCCGGATCAATCTAGTGGCCAGCTAGGTTGATCACGAGTAGGGAGGAGCCGGGTTCCATCGGTCACGATACGGTGCTCCGGGGAAGTCTTGGCAGGACGGACCCAAAGTTTCATGGCAAGGCCCCCTGTTTATACAGTGATTTTCCTTCATTGGGACCGATGAGTTTTGCACCGTCATGCTGTAATCAATTGTTTGACAAGTGCTTGTTTTCTTAAATTGTTTTTTTTATTTTTTATTTTGTTTTTTTATTAAGTTTTTTAGGGAGTTATTCCATGCTGGTTTTGATTACTGATTACTGATATTTGTTCCCATTGATAGGTGCTTGTCTTATTTTTAGAGTCATTAATTTGCCCTCCTTTGACATTTCAATAGGGGCATGTTGCAGCCTTCTGGCACCCTTGTGTCTGTCTCCGGTTCCTCCTTAGACCATATCTGGTTCAGCGATGGCCTTCACACTTATTTCTTAACCCACGTATTCCTCATTTACACACAAAACAGAATTAATTTACGCAGAACATTTTGAACAGGAACATCAAATTGCAATGCAAAAGAAAACAATCGTGCCATTCCTTTACTTATTTTAAAATGCTAAACCTACAACAAATTGGTGACCCTCAAAGGATCTGTTACTGCCTTGAAATTAGTCCAGACACAGATTCTGGCTGATGTATCCCTACCAATGCCCATTAGGCCATTCCTTTCTGCTATTCAAAAGGGGTGGCTGACAGATATGATCAAATCATACACCAATATGTTTAATACATACTACATTATTCCTCTTTATTTTAAACTATATAAAATACAAACATAAAACTTTACTACTACACAGCGTGGGGAGGAGTGACAGATACTGCGCTTAGCAGAGATATGAGCTTCTCTGAAGCAGTAGAGGCATGTCAGATGGTCATTGCCTTGGGAAGGAACAGGGACAGGAGACACAGTTCTTGAAGGCCAGAATCCTGCCCATAACTGGAGTCCCATACTGGGAAGGGGGACATGTTCCCCGAAACCTGATTATCTAATAAACTAACAAATAATTTTTATATTCGGTATATACAGTTTATAATATTTACAGCTTTGATGAAGGAGGATCAGCCCTGTGGACACTGGAAAGTTCAGACTCAGACCATGAAACAGTAAGAAGGAACTGGAGAGGCAGTTGGTCTGCATGGCTGCTTACATCCTCAGATCAGAGCACAAGGAGGGAAGGAGTGCACATGAGGACTAATGGACACTGACAAGAATCATCCAGTCTCAGGCACATGGAGTGCATGCATAGCCCACAGTGGAATATATACAGGGACCAGCACTTGCAGAAGTGGGCCTTTGTTCCACCTCTTATTAATTTTAGTCACTGGAAAAGATCAGCCTTTGCAGTGCTTTAATGTAAGAAAGGAAGCATCAAAAAGGTTGAAGAGGAAAGGGGGGGCAAAATGGAAACAATGAAGGCTCCTCTCAGATACCCCAAACAGTCCCCCTGGCAGAAGCCAGGCCCAAAAGGAGAGCAAGCAGGAGCTTCTCTGACAAAGGTTGATATAGTATTTAAAAGGCCAGGCAAAAGAAAGGGAAAGGTCTACATGAAGCATTTTCAGCAGACACATACCCCAGCAATTACACATTAAACTTTCTGTTTGTCCTCGGAGGGCTTTAATCAGAAGCATGAGAGCTGCAGCATTTCACCAACGTACACTCAGAGGGAGGCATGCATTAATGGAGCAATTCGTAGCTTGGTTGCAAGAGGATCACCCACGTAAGTAAGTCTGGACAGAACTCCACCCAAGAGCGCGAAGGAAGAGGACTCTGTAAAGGTATCTGTAAAGCAGCACTGATGCCTTTATACAGCAATTCACTGCATCTGTGAATACTTTAAATATTTATCCCTGCAGGTTGCCTGGCACAGAGGGCTCACAGGTATGAATGCACAAGGGAAACTTGTTTAATTCTTGGCATATCAGACTGGTGAGAGGGAAACAGAAGCTAAAATTCCAGACCTCCCTTCATGCACAAGAGGCAGGAAGTGGCTTCAAGAGGCAGGAAGTGGCTCGTAGGTACATGTGAACACTAAGAAATAAATTGAATATTCCAGACCTTTCCTCTCCCTACAAGTTCCACAACGTCCGCTAGGAATGGGATGGTGATCAAACTCATTGCAACAGCCCACAGGTGCTAACAATTTGTAGTCACTTAACCTGAGGTGCTTAAATGCAAGCTGCTCCATTGAACAACCCCCCTCTGTCAAAGAAACAAAGTTCAGTCCTGCTTCTCACTCCTCCCCCCAAAAACCACTTATTTGTTTCAGTGCAACTCACCAAAATGGTCACCACTAAATACTGGAAGTGATTGTGAAGACTGGCTGCATGGGTGCAAAACAGGACAAAATTGCTCTGCTCAAGCTGTGCAATGAAGACAACATCAAAAAGAATTTCATTACATCACCTATAACAAATCAGTTATTAAATAAATCCAAGCTTTTCGGTCCTGATTCTGCTCTCACTTACATCAGTTTAAATCAGGAGTAACTCCACTGAAGACACTGGAGTAATGTCAAGGTAAAGCTGGGGTAAAGTGACAGACGGATCAGGTCCTGAACGTATCGAACTAGTAGGTTGCAATATGGAAGACTAGTTTATTGGAAGGAGAGAAGAGTCTATTTACAACCTTAGAGTTTGCCTATTGTAACTGGTTAGTTACAGACAGCAGTTTGCTGAAAAAAGTTTCATTCCCCTTCCACAGACTGCCTCTTAGACAGTAATACCATGCATCTTTTAATTAAAGCCATGGCTCCTAAGCAATTTACTCTCCCCCTCAGCTGAAATTAATCATGACAACCCTCTGAAGTGCAGTAACTGATCCAGAGTGGCTTAATCATGTTGCTTATATTTGTACATGGGCCCGAGCTCAGGATCAGAACTGCCCACAAGTTTGGGTACTGTTTGGGTTGGAGGATCCAGTTCCTGTCTATTATACAGATAGGTGAGTCACAAGAATTATCATCCAGGATTTTGAGAGTTCAGGGCGAGGCTTGGAACTGAAGTCCTGGTCCAGGCCCTTCTCTGGTTATTTTGGGAAGGTGGAAGGCCTAGAGAAGAATCTGTGTTTTGTATGGAACCTTGATGAACTGTTCCTTTGAGGGCCAAAAAATTAACAACTTTTTTAGTTTATGTACAAATTAGGCCGAGTATTCTGCTCCCTCCCATCTCCCCAATGCCTTCTCCAGCTTGTGCCATAGTCTGCTGTGGTCTCATTTCATATGGTGGAAAAACACCATATTGGGGTCAGATCCACCAGAACTATGTCTCCCTATCCCTTCACCCTCTGCCCCCACTCCAAAACGACACCAAGACAAGCAGCAGCCTGTGCTGCACATACCAGCCAAGTTGGAGCAAGAGAGCTCCCAGCTGCTGCCTGCCTTCCCCCGCCTCTTTGAGACCTGAGGGTACAAGATGGGCCCAGGGTGCACCTCCTCCTCCCTGGGTGTTGTCAATAGGTGACTGTCTGCAGGCAGCTGTGTGCCATGCCAGGCCACATGCTGCCTAAGTGAATGAGTGCTGTAAGAGTCTGGATCCCAAGGAGCCTACCTGAATCTTCCCTTGCCTGTTGTTGCTCAGACGGACTACATTATTTGATGTGAGGGGAGATGCCTGTGTTACCGTCTCTCAGTCTCAGACCTGTCCCTCAAGCAAAAACTGCCAGATGCACAATCAGAAAGCCTTGCTAACTGAACCCAAATCCATGCCAACAGGAAATGTGGCTATTTCTTTGCAAACATATTTTCAGAGGTTCTTTGTGACAAGCACAAAGCCATGGAGGAGTGACAGTCCTTCCACAGGACTTATTAATTCACCACGACAGTTGGCAAGCAAAGTATGAGTACATTATAAGCATAACTCTTGTCATAGTGTCACAGCGCCGGTTGACTGATGGTTCATGTGGCTAATGGACTAGTGCCAAAAACATGGATATTATGATCTGCTTTTAAAAAAAATAAAGATGATGATTAATCGGGCCCTACCAAATTCACGATCCATTTTGATCAATTTCACAATCATAGGATTTTAAAAATCATAAATTTCATTATTTCAGATATGTAGTTGTAGGAGTTCTGACCCAAAAGGGGACTGGAAAGGTTGCAAGGTTATTATTGGGTTGGGGGGGGGAGGAAGGGTCCATGTTATTGCCACCCTTACTTCTGCGCTGCTGCCTTCAGAGCTGGGCCCTCGGCCAGCAGCCACCACTCTCCAGCTGCTCTGCTCTGAAGGATACAGCAGCGCAGAAGTAAGGGTGGCAATACCGTGACCCCCCTACAATAACCTTGTGACCCCCGTCTGGCGCCCTTTTGGGTCAGGACCCCCAGCTTGAGAAACGCTGGTGAAATCTGTATAGTATACTGTATAGTATAGGGTAAAAGTACACAAAAGACCAGATTTCACGGGGCAGACCAGATTTCACGGTCCATGACATGTTTTTCATGGCCGTGAATTTGATAGAGCCCTAATGATTAAGGTAATGAATCCTAAGGAAACACACTGAAACGATTAACGGAGATGAGCACAGATCTCAAAATCCTGGATCAAAATAGAACTGAACTTTGGGGAATGTGGGTTGAGAATCTATCAGTTTCAGGTTTTTATACCTCTATCGATGTGATGCTGCCTCACTGTGTTTCTTTTGGGAGGTTCAAAATATAGCGGCCGATCCAGATCTGAATTTTGTGGCTCTAGTTATAACTAGAAGTAGTACTGTATGCCTGCGTGATGGAATATCATCTTACACTTACATAGTGCCTTCCTTCTCAAAAAACTATAGGAGCCACTTCAGATACTATTAAAACACAGTCACAGTCACACAGGGCAATGGTTTAATGCAGCGCGCACTGCAGAACAGCTTTGGGAGAAGTGAAAAAGTATTCCCTAGCTGATTGAACCTAGGAGATTTTAGGTAGGTAGAATATAATGAGCCAAACTGGGCCTTTAATGAAAAAAAAAAGCTATAGAGTATTTAATAAGTGGTCAGGGCTTTAGGTTTTATTTCTTGTTTGAAAGATATTACTTCCAGCAGCACAATGCCCCTTAGCACGACAGCAGGGCATTAGTTCCATATTGACTCAGAGGGGAAAAACACAATCTACCGAATCACCAGCTCTACTTGCAAGTCTAGGGCTATTTACATTCCAGCTGCTGCTTCTGACTCTTTCATACTGTGGGTAGAACAAGTCCAATGCATGGACTTGCAAAGACTGGAGTTACCTGAATGGCTGTTGAGATGAGAAGAAACGAAGCTGTAAGCTTCAAGTACGGACCATGCTTCATTGTGAGTCTCAGTCCCTTAAAGAAAGGAATTGCTTTGTCTGAATTTAAGGCGTAAGGATCTACAAGGGGTGGAATACATAAAATAATGTCATATTTTCCAAACCTAAGTGGGAAAGAATCACTTTGAAACCCAGACGTATTTGAATTTAACTTACCGTCTCTCTCTTTTACTCCAATGAAAAGGATGAGAATGCCGAATAGATACACCCCTCCTATTACTCCCGCTGCAATCATGTAGAGTTCTCTCTTTAAAAGGAAAGAGACTTATTACAGATAAGGACAGTAAAAGCCTGATTGCACTGCTCTGGCTCAACAAAAGTAAATGGACCACTACATTGAGAAAAGACAAATTATAGATCCTAGATAGAAATAATTTTAATACCAGCCTGGGCAAGATTTACATACAAAACAATGGGGATTGTGCCATGTTAGGATATAAGCGTGCTATTCATTTGACCAGAGCAGGCTACCGTTTTACAAAGTGATATTTTCCAGGGGTCAGCACAAGATACGACCATTATGGGGAACCCTGGCTCCCTCAAATTTTTCAGATTAAGGTAAGGTGAGACCCAGGTGTGAGCTGACCTTGACAATATTTTTGGGAAAACAAAACCAGCCCTGCTTTTGACATCTCATAGTAAAAATAGCAGGCCCCAATCCCCAGTGCTGCTGAGCATCCACGTCTTCCAATTAAGTCAGCTATGGTCAGTGCTTAATTTGTAATGAAAGAGGTGCCGGGGCTCAAGCAAGTTTTCTACATTCATAACTGATGCAGCCACCCTGGAGGTGCTGGGGCTATGAACTGCCAAGCCTAGAGGTGCCGGGGCTCAGCCCGGGCAAGGCTTGGCACAAATTAAGCACTGGCTATGGTAGGCTAACTATTGCCTTGGCTTTTATACCTTGAAACCACATTTCTAACAGCACTGCTTATGGGCCAGGGCTAAGATTGTCAAAAGTGACTGATTATTTTGGATACCTCAGTGTCAGGGTGCCCAATGGAGAGAAAGGACAGTGCCGTGGTTAAGATGCTAGCCTAGGACTGGAGCAACCTGGCTTCAACTTCCTGCTCCACTACAGAGTTTCTGTGTGATCTGAGGCAAGTCACTTAGTCTCTCTTTGCCACAGTTCCACCTTACAGTAGGTTTGTCTAGGCTTTATTTCCCTAGTTTGTTTATGAGAAAGTCATGTGAGACAGTAACAAAAGCCTTCCTAACACTGCTTGAGAAATTTAGTAAAGTTTGATATAAGCATATTTACTTTGTATTTTCTGACATTATATAATGTTGACAATTTGTGTTTTAACCCTTACAGAGCTTCAACTTTTTGAATCTCATTGTCTACAGTCATTAAATAATTACTGTCTAACCCCTCCCAGCTGTCCCTCCCCCAATAATTTCTCGCAACCACAAACATTTAAATAGATTAAAATATAAAAAATGCCGAAAACCCATAAACTGTGCAACTGTGAAAATTTAAATTGATAAAAGTAGAAAAAAATGCTTAAAAAGTAAACATTGATATTAGCCATTGAAATTATCAAAAAATAAGAATAAAGTTCTGACAAGCCTATGAATATACTACAAATGGTAGGTTGCAAATCTAGGAACCATTTGGTCAAAAAAAACCTTTAACCAACAATGGCATCTTCTCAAAGAACAGGCCACCTCCTCCATGTCCAAGATAAAAGTTTGGTACAGACATGATCTTTACCTCAAAAAAACCAAACTTTGTTAGATATTTATGTTTTAGAAAGAGCCATGGTTGTACACATGAATGTAAGGCTATTCTTTATTCAGGATAAGTAGTTATGCTTAGGATGTGTTTTCAGAGCTGTAAACTAAGTCATAAAAGTGGGCTTCTTTCCCCCTCATCTTTACAGAGAGAAAATCTTTAGTTTTAAACCCCACACAAAGAATTCTAGAAATATCCTAATCAAAACTGATTTCTTTTACAAAACTTTAACGTCTTCATTCTTTAAACTTCAAGGAGAACATTTATGGCTGGGAAATGTTTTACAGGAGATATTGGTTAATTCTGACTCATCTTTCCTCTTGATGGGGAAAACCCTTGTTGTCCTTCAACTGTTTAAGATGTTATATGCTTCCTTTGAGATGCGTATTCACAAATGTTTTGTATCTAAAACTAGCTCTTCAAATAGCAACTTCCTGAGACTACTATTATGTGACTTGTAAGATGTTTTATGTACAAATACAGCAAGGTCATTTGAATGCTGTAACAGGTTAATATAAGAAACCATCTGAGTATAAAATATTGATATTCACTGGGGAATTAATCAGTTACCTGGCAAAGCTTAAACATCTTGCCAAACTCAAAAAAGACAAGAAAAACTTCTGCAAAGACTGTTAAGAAGAAAAGACTATACTTTATTTGATGATCATTTAAGTTTAAAGACTCTTTTGAATAATAATTTAAATTAAAAAAAGACTTTGAACAGCTGAAATAATTTTTGGACTGTGTTTTGACTTCTATGAAACAATTTCAAAACCTTGTTGGAACTAAAGAAATCGCTCAGAAAATGAACTGAATAAAAGAGAGTTAAAACTCTAAAGATGTTCTGAGAATTTCCTGCCACAAAGCCAAAAGTCAATACAACTATAAAGCTGAAGAATTACAGCTCTACTGCATGTGCATTAACAGACTGCATATTCATGAGATGAAGATGCTACCAAGGCAATCCCATGAAGGTGCTAACCCAATGAAAGCCAACAGCATCTGATATCTGAATCCAGCCAAGCCCTGAAAAGTGTGCTTCTTCCACCTTCACTGAGACTATGCAAAGAGAAAAGTATAAATTCCTCGGAAGTGGGACATGCACTGTTCTCATGCTTGTTCTTACAAACTCTTGTGTGCTATTATGCTCTTACATGGTTCTGCTTTCTTATGCACTCAGTTCAACCTGGCCACCTCATCTCTACAAGCAAGCACACAGCAGCAACCAGACAGCTAAGAAGAACAAAGAAGCAACAATACAGCAACCTTCCAGCTCAGCACTGTTTCTGCAGCACGATGACATCATTGAGACTTCAGCATTGTTGGTGAGATAAGAGCATTGCCAAGGGATTAGAGTTGTTTCTTGTAATAATTTTAATGGACTTGAAATACTATTGTAATTTAAGGCATTAACAACTTCTATTAAAAACTAGATTGCTTTGACTGTGAACTCCAAAAGGAGACATGAGCTAATCTTGGTAAAAAGAGAAAAAATAGCAGGATTTCCAGTAGAATCTCAGAGTTACGAACAGCTCAGAAATGGAGATTGTTCGTAACTCTCAAAAGTTTGTAACGCTGAACAAAATGTTATGGTTATTCTTTCAAAAGTTTACAACTGAACATTGACTTAATACGGCTTTGACACTCTACTATCCAGAAGAAATATGCTGTTTTTAACCATCTTAATTTAAATGAAACAAGCACAGAAACAGTTTCCCTATCTTGTCAAATCTTTTTTTAGAATTTTCCTTTTTTTTTTTAGTAGTTTACATTTAACACAGTACTGTACCGAATTTGCTTTTTTTTTGGTCTCTGCTGCTGCCTGACTGTGTACTTCTAGTTCCAAATGAGGTGTGTGGTTGACCGGTCAGTTTGTAACTCTGGTGTTTGTATCTCTGAGGTTCTATTGTACTTTGAATTTAAGATTCTTGAACATTTATTAATGTTCCTGTCTCAAAACTGCTCCTTAAATGGCTTCCTTTTAAGTAACTAGGTTAAATGCTTTCTTCGCCTTTGCCCATGTTTAAATTGGTTAGGTTATCCATGACAAACCAAACAGGATTCACTGTTCCTTAAATGAAGTTCCTTAGCCCATCTATAAATTGTTTTAGTTATTTATGATACACTGAGACAGGCCTCCCTACTGATTTTGGGAAAATGTACTTCGGTCTTAATTCTCCTGGAGAAGTGCGTTCCCACTGGGGGGAACTAAACAATCCAATGATACTCAGTCTGAAGTTCGCGAGTCGCAAGTGGCTCCTTAATGTGTCTCCTGCGGCTCTTTGCAGCACGTGATACTAAAACATTGTGTGATTTAATTATGAACCAATCTAAGTTATTAACCAATGAGGATGCTTTTACCATGTTATTAACCAATTGTAATTGATAAAATAATAATACTGAGCCAGCCATTTTGCTGTGAGAATGAAACAATGAATTCATACTACCGTGGCTCTTTGGAGCAATATTGATCACTAATTTGGCTCCCGAAGCTCTGAGGTCTGAGTAAAAAGAAAAGGAGTACTTGTGTATCACTGGTCTAATCTCTGTTGAGAGCTCTTCACAGAAACACAGACAGAAGAGATTGTATCTGTAGTAGCAATTGCTTACTGCTTGTGTTCTGTTTTGGTTTTTGTTATTATATTATTAAAGCAAGGGGGGAAAGTCATAGCTAATTACTGTGGTTATTTTGTTTGTCTGTCATCATGCTGTCCCCTACGGCACAATCAGAAGAAGCTCATGTGACTAAAACAGTGGGGTCACATCCCTGAAATGGAGACAATTAAGATTTGGCCCCAACTACTTCTTGTCCTCCACATTATCATTTTTTTGTAATTTTGAAGATAAAATCACTTGGAGCTCAACACTTTGCAAAACAGTCCTTTCTACCCACAATATCCCCTAGCCCCAACAATGCTAGGATTTTCACACACAAACATTCCCACATGACCTCATGTCTGGTTCTTTTCTTTAATGCTGTTTAGGGGATTTGGAAGACAGGGGTTACTCAACAGCACTAATGAAAGCAGGCACCGCAAGGCAAAAGGCTGCCACTGCACTTTAATCCTGCCCTGCCACGCCTCCAGCCAGTCCTCTCTTGAAAACCTCTTGTGCAGAGACTTGTCAATTTGTATGGCAATTTTGTGATGTGAGCAAATTCATCTGTTCATAGATTCCAAGGCCAGAAGGGACCATTGTGGTCATCTAGTCTGATCTCCTGTATTGCACAGGCCATAGAACTTCCCCAAAATAATTCCTACAGTGTATCTTTTAGAAAAAAATCCAATCTCGATTTAATAATTGTCAGTGATGGTGAATCACTGCACCTCTTGGGAAGTTGTTCCAATGGTTAAGTACCCTCACAGTCAAAAATTTACACCTTATATCCAGTCTGAATTTGTCTAGCTATTTGATAGTGTTAAACCTTTCTCTGGCAGACTGAAGAGCACATTATTAAATATTTGTTCTGCATGTGGATACTTATAGACTGTAATCAAGTCACTCAACCTTCTCTT